GAGGTGTTGTTGTGTTTCAGAACCTCTGGAGCTGTGGAGTTTTGTTCTCTCTCTTTAGAGAATCCCTCCACCTAAGGAGAGCCTTTAACTAGGTTTCTTTCCTAAGATAAAGACACCAAAGTACAAAGGAATATGGATCACTTGTCCAGAGCCACCTGGCTCTAGTTTGCAGAACCTGTGGCTCCCTCCCTTCTGAAGAGGACATATCTAAAGCCAAAGCCAGCTTTCTGTTTTGTAACAGCACTCTGCTTTAGCTAAGGCCCTCTATGGTATAAATTAACTTAGAAGTAGCTTTGTCAGGGCAGGAACTGAATCTCTCTTTACCATACCTGGAATTGATTCCTGTCTTTCTCCATCCTTCCATCCATTAGTAAACATTTGGCTGTGGGCCAGGGTTGAGGAAATAATGAGAACAAAATGTTGTGTTCCAGTCTTAAGAGAGCTTATGGTTATCTGGGGGAGACAGTTACAAAGAAGTTTGCATTGTGGCCAGCTCTGATAGGCAAGAGGTCTGAGGGTTAGGAGAACATCAGGTTAAATCAACAAATTGACAGAAAGTACTGAAGTCTGAGATCAGAAACAAATTCTACAAATTAATATAAAAAAAGAGGCAGAAAATTCAGCAGAAAAAACTGACCAGTAGTTTGATGAACACTTCAAAAAAGCAGATATCCAAATGACCAATATACATTCAAATAGTGCTAATATCATGTGTTAGTCACTGGGGAAATTCAAATTTAGTTCTTCGGGGCCAGGTGTGGTGGTGGTGCATGCCTGTAATCCCAGCAGCTTGGGAGACTGAGGCAGGATGATCACAAATTCAAAGTCAGCCTCAGCAGTTTAGCAAGGTTCTAAACAACTTAGTGAGACCCTGTCTCTAAAATAAATAAAAAGGACTAGGGATATGACTCAGTAGTTGAATGCTCCTGGGTTCAGTCCCCACATAAAAGAAAAAAAAAAAGTTACTGACCAGGCATGGTGGTACATGTCTGCAATCCTAGCAACTCAGGAGGCTGAGGCAGGAGGATTGCAAGTTCAAGGCCAGCCTCAGCAACTTAGTGAAGCC